CTTTGCTCTCGTACTGGGGCGGGAGAGGGGACCAGTACAGGACATATAACGGGAGGCACTGGGACCAGTACGAGACATAACGGGAGGCACAGGGACCAGTACAGGACATAACGGGATGGACTGGGACCAGTATGAAACATAAGGGGCTGTATTGGGACCAGTATGAGATATAACGGGCTGGACTAGAACCAGTATGAGACGTAATGGAGCTGTACTGGGACCAGTATGAGATATAACGGGATGGACTGTGACCAATACGAGACTTTACAGGGCTGTATTGGGACCGGTACAGGACATAACGGGATGGACTGGGACCAGTATGAGACAGAACTGGGCTGTACCAGATTCTGCATGAGATATAACGAGCTCGGTTGAGGCCAGTACGAGCCATAATGAGCTGTACTGGGACCAGTATGGGCCATAATGCTCTGTACTGGGATTGGTATGAGATAGAACACGGCTGTACTGGGATTGGTATGAGATACAACACGGCTGTAGTGGGATGTGGATGAGATATAACACGGCTGTACTGGGACCAGTGTGAGCCACAGCAGAGCTGTACTGGCACCTGTATAAGGGGGCTGTAGCAGGACCAGCCAGCCACAGTGGGGCTGTACTGGGATGGCACTGGCATTCCAGGAAGGCTGGATACTGGGACTGCAGGAGGGTTGTGCTGGGAAGCACTGGGGCAGCCACTGGGACGTGTTTCCCTCTCCAGAGCTGTCCCTGCCCTGCAGATCCCACCACTGTGTCACCTCACAGTCACCATCCACAGCACCCCAGACAGGTAAAACCAGCCTGGCTCTCCCAAAAATAACACACCAAAGGATCTGGAGGAGACTGGGATGTGCTGGGACCTGTCCTGGGTAAGGCCTGCCAGGGCCAGGTCCATCCCTCCTCCAGAGCCCAGAGCTCCATTCCCTCCCTCTCACAGCCCAGAACAGGGGGTATTGGAAGGACTCCTCTCAAGGTGGCACCGTGCCAAAAGGAAGAGGGAATGAGGCTCCTTAAAATCAGCAACTCAAGCTACTTCCAGATTTTTCTGGCAGCCAGGCCCCACCAGTCCTTGCACTGAACTGGAAGGCTGTGATGGAGCTTGTTTTGTAGCAGATCTCCACACACACAGTCTGCTGCAGCATTCATCCCTCGATTTAGATGGAAACAGGCTGGCAAGGCTCCACAGAAGTGATTTCCAGGGGGAAGTTTTCTTGCTGGAGTGCCGGTAAAGGGGCTTGGCTGGAACTGTTACGGAGGGAACAGCTCCCACCAGGAGCTCCTGGTGCCCAGCACAGCAGGAGGAGGAACACAGGGTGACCTTCAGCCCAGCCCAGCCCAGCCCCGGATACAAACACAACTTCTCCATTTCAGAGCTCCCTTGGCAGTTTTGTTCTATCCGCTCTGGAAAACCCCGCTCACTGCCTGTTTTCTCCAGGCCTGTACCTATTGTCTGGCTCTGGAGAGAGAAGGGAAGTGATTATCCTGCCTTCCTGCAGGGCAGCAGCAGCCTGCACCCACCATCCAGGCATTCCTGCAGCAGGGAGGGGAGCAGGC